AATTGTACTTACTTATGAAATGTAATATTCTGTAATTTTGATGTAGAGATTTCTCGACCTACTACACACAAAACAACTCGGCATTGTTATGCACTGATATCAAAACTAAAAGTATTAATTTCGATAACCTGTATATAAGTATGAAACACTAACTACACGTRTTGTCGTGTTCGCAGTCAAATAAATTGTACTTATGACTTAAAATTAAAATAATTAATGCCGTACAGAGTTAGTATAAGTCGGTAAGTCAATAAAAAAAACAATTCAGAAAATTGAATGAGCATTTTGTAACTGGCATAAGCCGTCACATCACTTTTTTTGATAAAATACAGTGAAACCAGCAAATCATATATACTGACATTTTACAATATTTTAATATATGTAAAATGGTAGTACTGAAAAAAAGAGTCTAAGTTCTGACTTCAATTTTGTTATACAGGCATTATAGGGAACGGCCCCTCTATATTACTCTATGGTATGACCATAAATAATAAATACATGGATAGGACCATAGAGTAATATTACTAATATTACTCTATGGATAGGACATAATGTCTTATCAGTGAAGCACTTCAGCACTTGGTTCATAGATAATAAATTGAGGTTGCTTGTTTCCATTATGATTTGATAACAGTTAAAATAATTAATAATCGTCAATCACATTTGAATTATAAATGTTTATTTAAGTTTTTATTATTGGTAAATTTTAGATTAATAGTACCTAACTAGTAAGTATAATAATGTAAATATTAATTACATGCATAATAAAAATTATAATGTAACAATGTGCTTTTTACTTTTAAAAATAGTTAAATATTTATAATCATACCTAGCCCGTAGGTACCTTATTAATCATGGCTGAAGTGTATTTGTTTAGTCAACTTAACTTTGAACGAGTTTTTATATGATCAATATTTCTTAGATTGAATTCATGGTACATTCTTATATCCAAATATTTAAGAATAATTTTGTTCACCCGATTGTTTTATGGTCGTTTTCAAACCATACATCATTTCCACAGTCTAAGTTTGTAAATATTTTACAGCTTTTATACAGTTGTGACTTTACTTTGGTTATAAAAAATTGTTGTGGATTCTTTTTGTATATCTGGTTTGGATACTGCCTTAATATATTTTCAGTTGCATTAATGTTTTGTCACAGAATTTCTGTGCAACATTATTATTATCAGTATACATATTATTCACCACCCAGCGTTCAAAGTAGCAGAACCTAGTTTCCTATCATCAATCATCGTTAACTCAGCTCTCAACAAGAACGCGACTACCTCAACAGGCAATAGCGCCAAACAAATAGCCGTTTTTACAGCTAATTTCTCAACAGGCAATAGCACCAACAAAAATCAGCAGTTCTTACTGCTAATCTAACAGGGCAACAGCGCTCATAGATCGGTAAATGTTCATCTGTTCGCCGTTCAACGACACAATGCCTACAAATCAGCAGTTCTCACTGTTTCTCTATCAGTGCAACAGCACCCACAGGTAAGTCGCCGCGAAAGCGACGGTTTATCTAAATACCGTCAGGTTAGGTCATTTGAGATTAATTGGACCACCAAATAAAAAAATTAAAACTTTTGTTAAGCAATTAAAAATAAAAAATAACACGAGAAAACTTCGAAAGTGAAATTATGAATTTTTTTTACATTCAATGGTTCCTTTGAGATGCGTAGTAGACCCGTATTTTATAAAAATATTTGATACTTTAAATATATATAATTCCGGACTTCATATTTTAAGCCGACGATCTCTTTGTCAAAAAGTTGATACTTATTATGAAAAAAATAAAATTGAAATGAATGAAAATAAAATAAATAAAAWAAAATAAAATAAAACCTAAAAGATGTACAATTTGTTTGTACTACAGTAGATATTTGGTCTGGGAAAAAGAGGAGTTTTCTAGGGGTAACGGGTCATTGGATTTCATCAACTAATTTAAATCGGGTATCAAAAGCTTTAGCTTGTCGTCGTTTCAAAGGAAGTCATACTTACGATAAAATTTCTGATCTACTTAATGAAATACATTTGGAGTTCAACTTAAATCCTTCTAAAATTATCACAACAGTTACTGATAATGGGAGTAATTTTGTTACAGCATTCAAAATGTTTGGAGTAAAGAGAACAAATATAATTTTTATCGAAGAGGAAAACTCGGTTGATAATATTGATACCTCAAAATTTAATTTAGAATCAAACGAAAGTAATCAATTTCAATATGACGTACATGGGACAGATATAAAAACATATTGCCAATGCATTTTAGATGTTTCGCACATACTCTTAATTTATGTATAACTATAGATATAAATAAATTTATAAATAATTCTGATGAATTATCATTAGTACACGTTTCAGTAATTAATAAATGTAATATTCTTTGGAATTTAGCTGGACGGCCATAATCGGCCGAAATTATACAAAACATATTAGGAAATACATTAAGTAGGTTTGGAGAAACGCGGTGGAACAGTTATACGATGCACTTCGACAGATATTAAATAAAAAAAAAAAAAATATTTCAAATTTAAATAATGCTTTAGATATAAATAAAATAAAATGTTTGCGGAAACAAGATTTTGATTATATTGAAGAGCATTTATTATGCACAGCGCCAATGGATGAAGCATTGGATATAATGCAAGTGAAACAAATACTTATTATGGTGTAGTATTACCATGTCTTCTGGCATCAAGAAAAAAAATTGAAATTTTAGCTAAATCTGTACGTATCTGGTTATACTGCAAACCTATAATTGATGCATTATTAAAAAGTATTGATAAAAGATTTGAAAATTATTAAAATTTTTTTTCTCTTGAATTTGTTAATGCTTCAATAGCAGCATTCTTATATCCGCGTTTTAAAAAACGTTGGTTTACATGCGTACAATTAGAAAATCACGATAAACTCGTTCACTTATTCAAAAAAACAGTAGATGACGTGATTAGTGCACAAAACACACCACTTCATTCAGAAAAATCACCAAACACAAATCAAACAACGAACGACTTTTTTGACTTCGGATCTTCTTCATCGGCATCAACTGGTACGACAAAATCAGAATTAGAAGTTCTACATTTCTTGTCTGATGAAGAAAACAATCTAAATAATCTCGAAAAGTATCCTAATATTAAACAAGTTTTTATTCGATATAATACTCCTTTTTCGTCGTAAGCACCTGTGGAAAGACTTTTTTCATTTGCAACAATGATAAATCAACCAAGAAGTCATAATTTATCCGATCAATTATTTGAAAAACGTGTCGTATTAAAAGCAAATATAGTATAAAAATGTAATGATTTTTACATTATTTATAATTGTTATTATTAATTATTATAACACATTTTCATTGTTTCATTTTTGTTTACATTTAGTTAATTATTAAAAAATAATTTTTTCCTGAAAAAATATGCTTTTGTATTGTTAATTGTTATTTTTTTCTATAATATTTGAAAATTGCATTTATCATTGTTAAATTTACTCCTTATTTATTTTATTTTATTTTTTTACAATATCCTATTTAATATAGGTAATAAATAAGTATAATACATGAAGTGCACTACAATGATCGATTATCTAGGCTAGCCGTATTTTTTTAAAATTTTTATCTTAAAATATACCTGTTATTCAGTCCAAATAGTCATTGAAATATCATTAATTATGAAAATTTAGTCATGATTACAAATTAAAAAAATTTGTAATCATAATATTGATTACATTAATTTATAATTTATATTATAATTAACGACCACAAATTGTAATCGTAATCTTTAATCATTAATCAGATTACGATTTTCCCAACACTGCCACCACAGTACCTTCCTGTTCTCCCAAACACCCCCACCCTCTTTTCAGAGCGACAGGTTTTTCACTACCATCACTAGCTATGGGCGGTAATTGACCACGTAAGCGAAAAGATGGTAGCTACGCTTACCATCCATCACAAGCAACGAAAGTCTCTCACCAATGCTCATCACCTCCATCATCTCCGCCACCGAAATCCTCCGACTCTTAGATTTTAGAATCTTCTGATTCCTTTTCAATCTAACCTTGACTCAAGCTCTACTACTATTTCTACTATACCGAGCACTATGTAACCCCACCAACATCGGCACCAACCAAAACTACAACCATTCCGTAACTTGTTCAACCTCCGTCCACACCAACTAAAATCTGACCTCTACCCATTATCTTAAGCTCCAGTTTCTGGCGCAAGATTGCGCCCACTATCTACAAAATTCCGAATCTAACACCCTCATCAATTACTACCAAATCCTCTTCGAATGGAATAATAACTATTCAAAAAGCTGACTCCTCCCACTTCTGAATGGTCCAGACCACCTTGATTGAGTACAAAACCGAGTTCCACACCTTCAGCCTCCCCGAAGAACGCATCTTTAAGGTCGTTTTAAAGGGTATTCCAATCAATATCCATACTTATGAAGTAATAAGCGAACTTGAGTCTCTTAACTTTTCTATTGTTATATACACCTAGTCCAAAGGTTGGCAGTGAGACGTCATATTTGGGTGAAAAAGACTAGCTAGACATTTTGCATTTTAAGATGGGGATGAACAGTTGCATTCTCGACAAAAAGTAGTACTTTTCTTTGACTTTTAATCATTTGTTTATCGAATTTCATTAGCCAGTCTATCATAATCTGTGTCGCCATCCAGGCCTTTTTATTCCAACACCAGTCAATGGGTAATTTATTTACGTCTAAATTTTGAAAGCTCGCAATCATTTTGCCTTACATATGACGAGAGGACACTCAAATTCACCTATCATATTACAGCACAATAGCACAATCAACCGCTCTTTTGAAACATTTCCACCACTGCACGTTTCATTTTTAAATGCCATAGTTTTATTGGGTAGAACTCTAAAAAAAAGCCCAGTCTCGTCGGCATTAAAGATGTCTCGCCTTTCATATTTATCGATTATGTTTGGCAATTTTTTCTTCCAGTCATCAACAACTATCTATCAACGGCTTAAGCTTCCCCACAGATAGATTTAAACGAAATGTTATGCCTTCTTCGACATTTTTCAAGCCACCCGTTTGAAGCTTTAAAGTCATTTAATCCATGAACTTCAGCAAGTTGTTTAGCCTTTTCTTGTATTGTTGGTCCGGAAATTGGCAAATTTTTTTCCCGAGTTTTGCTAATCCAGAGTTCTTTATCAATCACACTGCCTTCACATTTCCTTAATTTCGTTAATTTTCGTTCTTCATTTCCATTTTCAACCCACGTTTTATAATTTTTTCCTGTGTTAGACACAAATACACAATATCCATGATCTGTGTTTTTCCAACTTGAAACTTTTCTGTGAGTGCACGAATTCCTACGTTTCCGATGTTTTTACGGTAATCTAAAATGTCAAATTTTTCATGAAGCGACAACCGTTTTCGTTTTAACGTAGTCATCGCGTCGAAAACCGTCACTAGCTGACATACTTTCGCCATAACACATAACCGCTTCACAAATAACCGAATATGTCGTAATCTTATCATCCCATAACGAGTTTTTTTTACCGTAATTACATTATTGCGAGATTACATACGAATGTGAATACGTATTATTTTCAAATAATGATTAGGGATTTACCATTATTTTAAAAATACATTAATAAAATAATGTCCGTTATTCGGAGAGTTCGCTATTCGGAGGCTCTCCTATTGAAAAGTAGTGAAAATGTCCCCGTTCCCCAAAAAACGTATATTGGGAGGTTTCCGTTAGTGGAGGTTTTACTGTAATCACTTGTGGTATTTAACCGAAGAAGCAGCTGCTCTATCGTTTTTATATTTTATATAAAAATATAAATTTTATGCTTTTTTATATATTATTTATATTTTATACCTTTTGAAACAAAACATTTAATGGTAAAAGCTTTTTTAAGAAAAAATCACCCATTAACACGACTAAACGACTTACACTTCAACCATATCAGATTGATGAAAGATTTAATGGTGAGTACATTATTTAAAATAATGACATTAATAAAAACTAAATAATAATACAAACTAATACAATTTATTTTTTTTACTTATTTTTATATTTTACAGAAATGAATATTGATAAATTTATTTCAGAAAATACATAGCTTAAAACTATTCACCAGATTTGGTATTGATACAAGTTTTTTACAATACGATCCAAAATTGTGGGATAAGCATATCAGTTTGGCAAAGAATTAATACAATCTCTAAAAATAGTGAATGATACAGCTGAGAGAGGCGTGAAATTAATAGCAGACTTTAATGAAGCGTTTACAGTCAACGAAAAGCAAAAACAATATGTAATACAATGTGTTCAAGAACCCAGAAAAATGTATCAAAATTGTAAAAAGGAAACATTAAAAAAATCATATTAATTTAAATCATTAATTAAATACTTCAATAAATAAAAATATTTCATAATACATTAACTCAGATGAATATTTACCATTAAAAAAATATGTTTAATGTTTATATAGTTGTAACAGTAAAAATTTTGAGAATACAGTGTTTCTATACATTTAAGTCAATAAATCTCATGAACAGTAGAAGATATTAAAAACTTGTTAAGAAATAATTTATAGACAATTTTGGTTTATTTAAAACTTATTATATAAATGATTTCGTTTTACTAAATGGGTTGCAAAATATTTAAAAAAATATAAAAATATTTCATAAATATTTAAAAATTGAATTAATTCAAACTTTAGGTATAATTCGGCACGGGTTAACCTTGTTTGATTGCCTCAACATTTTTCATAATTAATTTTCATAAGCATACACACGTTTTTAGGGGGTGAGACCATAAAAATGTTGCTTTTTTTCATCATTTATAGCTAAGGAACACCCTAATGCGCATATCACGTCTGGAAATATAAATTAAACACATTTTTGTGAACTAGAGTCCAGAGGAGAGACACCTTTGATAAGTTTTGAAGTCGAAAAAATAACTCTAATTCGAACTGATTATAGTATAAGTTTTTAAATATAAGTATGTATCAATCAAGAATAGTTTTAATAATTAAATATATTTGAAAGTGTACACTTTTAGATACAAGAATTAGATTAGAATGATGAGCCTTTCATTAGAGTTCTTTTTACATAGGTGCACTGATGATAGGAAAAGGTATTTACACGTACATCCTTGTTATGTGTAGCATCGATTTTATATGACCAAAGAAATCGTACTTTTCCTTATACCGGTTATATTGAATAAATAATTAGTACTGCATATCAATATCCGGACAAACGTCATACTGTTCATAATATGTATGCGTTTGGTCTTGTACATGGTAGTATTTGCAACAACATTAGATACTTAGTGTTCGGTCTTAGATACTTAGTGTCTCTAGCCGCAGCGATTATACATATAATTTGTAGTGATTAATTAGAAGAAAAATCGAACATTCCAGATAACTTAATAAACATGGCTCATATATCTGTGTAATACTGTAATATTATGTACTAAGTCTTCAGATGAGAATTTAAGAAGAATTAAAATTTTATTTAAAAGCTCGAGAGATTTACGAGGATGATTGCTTCCCATTTCCTATGCTGCGTGGAGATGGAATACATTAGTCACAAATAAATAGTACGTGAGTTCCTCCCCAGAGCGCTACGGTACATGTACATTATATTTTTGTTTGCGTTTATAGTCACTCGCTGCGCTAGTGTACATCCTATTAACATTTTTAGTTCTATGGATTTATCATTTCGTAATTTCGTTTGTATTCATATAATTTACAATTAACTCGCAGATGTTCCGCTCTACTCAATTTTTTTTTTTTCATTTATTTCATTAATGATGTCCGGCTGAATAATTTATACAGTCACCGTTGCAATACTTTGTTTGCAGCAAAAATATAATAACAATTATAAAATGACGACAAACACACCATTGTTTGTTCATAGAATATATTACTACAATTGAAGCTTATGACTGCATTTATGACGGTTAAATAATGGGAAATTGTATCACTTAAGACGTACGTTATTGAACGTAATGAATTATACTTATTCTTCATTTTGTTTAATCACATTTTGGAAATACATTTTTGTAAACCGATAAATGAACGCTATATTCTATGTTGGTATATCCTGCATTTTATCATCATTTATTTATTTATTCAGCCAAAATAATTACAATAAAATACATTAATAATAATAGCTGATACGAATACCAACTATACTGAGGTATAAGCTCGTATCTGGTATACGGAGTTTAACGATATTACAATGCGTATAAAGTAAAATATTTATACAAATAAAAATATGATATAATTAAATAAACATAACATGAAAATAGAAACAAAAATTAACATCAGCACTACATATAGTACATATTATACGATGTTATGTTTAGACGTAAGGATATTTTATGATGTTGTTGTGCTCGTACGGGTTGTTCCGTTTGAACGTTGTTTTTTTCGGTAGTGTGAGGGTTCAATTTTAGGTGAGAGAACAACAAGAACAATTATAAAGATTTATATGGTACTAATATAATTTTATTGTGAGTCGCATTATTAAATTCACTGTTTAATTTATTATTATTCGTCGGAACGACGTACAGGTTTAAAAGAGCTAGAACGACTGACTCTACGGTTCCCAAGCGGGTGCCGTGTAGTTACAATATTCCGGGAGTCGCCTACACATTAGGCGTTGCCCGTAGACTACAATAATATACTCTTATATTSTAATACAAAAGGCTAATTCTATATACTAATAGCTAATGCGTTCATAACAATGTTATTGATACACACATTCTCATCAAGATCTCTAATTATTATTTATTCACTCTTTTATTTGATTTTTATTTACTATATCATTGCTATTATTGGATTGACTTTCACACAAACTTTTTTTAGACAAGGTATTTACTTCATTATTTAAGTTGTTGAAAATAGTTTTCCCCATGTAATTGGAAGAGTTTCTAGGATTAGTCAATATAGTATATGACGGTTTAATGTATTTCCCTGTTATTCTATCTATTATTTCTGTAGCTTAGAGTGTATGGTTTTTTATGGATTGAAATGAAATTTGCCTAATGTATAATTTATAAACAGATAATATATTAGAATGGTTGAATAATTTTTCTGATGCAAGGTGAACTTTTTTTGGATTTATTGCCATGTGTTTTCAATCAAGGATTTAACAATTTTTTACGTGCCCAAAGTTTGTTAATTCTTAATAGAACATAATACATATAACAATATAATATAGTAACTTTTTCAATTTTACATTTAGGAATATCATAACTTTTAAAATATTTATAATTTATGTATTTTAAATGTTTACAAGCAAAATTGAAAAAGAATAGTATAATTTTTCTCAGTTTTAATTTTTCCCTTAACATTAAAATTGGACAAACGTGCCACTTTTGGCACGTGTGCCGTGGGATAGCCACCTTTGCTCTAATGGGTATTTTAGTGATATGGAGTATGCTACTTTTACAATAATTTTTTGTCTAATATGTAATATCTGTTATGTTAGTGCCTCTCGAATATGTTATGCCATAATATAGAATAACAGTTGGTTATCTCCTTATCGTAGTAAACACTAAGTCACTAAGAGGTTTCATTAAACCCACATCCAGTGGTTGTGGTCTGTGTGTACAGTGTGGAGGAAAACATAAGAGAAAGACTCCTTTATCACGTGCCAAATTTATGAGTTCTATGTTTTTGGTATCAGTGGAGTGTCCATCTGTGAATAAAATAAATATAATATTTATTTAGGTACCTATTACAATTAAATAGTAAAATAATTAAAAATATAATAGGTAGGTAGGTACCAACCTAGTAATTATAATATTGGAGATTCTTTTAATGAATTGGAAAAGGTAATGAAATGTTGTAATTAACGTTCAAATATGGATTTCTGCATCCAGCCACTAGGGTGAAATTCTACACAAGAACCTGGAGGAGCATTTCTCATGAATTCCATATTATGCCACTGTCTGGGAAAAATTAGCAATAGTGGCATACATCTTCCAACAGAATTCATGTCGACTGCCACAGTTTCACCACGTTCAGCAGATGTTATCGAACCAACTTGTTTCCAGGCTTTGGTGGCTATTATTTTAGCTTTGCTTTTAGGGACTGAAGAAATACCAGTCTCATCACAATTGTATATCTGATCTGAAGTGAATTTATATCTGTCCATAAGCTCATCCAGGAGTTTGAAAAATTGCATAACAACAGGCTTATTAAACGCTGTGTCTAGAGCACCGGGCGCCCGGACATATTATAGAGTACCGGGCGCCCGGATATATTATAGAGTACCGGGCGTCTGGCTACACTTGACTTAATACCTAAACATTTTACATTTTTAAAAAATATCAGTTTCGTTTACTGTTTATAGGTTAATTACCCTGATTGTTAACATTTTCTGAGAATCCAGCATCCATAGTTTTATCGTTTACATCCACAATATCATTGTCTGGGTAGTTATCCTGTCTGTTATGATTTTCTAAATCTTCATTTTCAACATCATCAGTAAAGTCATTATCTACATGTATACAGTAATTTTACATATTAAATTTTTTCAAAAATATCTGTAACATATATCAAAAAAAATTTCATAATTACTTAACACTTTAATAGATACTTCATGCCCTTTCAACCAATTATTATATACATATTCAAGCTGTTCAATTTTTCTATAGAAATGAACATTTGAAGCTTGGGAAATTAATTCAGCAATCTTTGCACTTATTAATGTTGCTTTTCTGAACTTTTCGTGAGTTGTCGGGACTTTTTTCTTTTTTCTATATAATGTAGTTACTGTAGTATCACTATCAGAAACAACAACCTCAACATTTTTAAAAACCCTTTGAGTTTTATAATAATAATTTCTTGTCCATCTTTTTTCACACAAATCAGCATCAAATAAAGGTGTCAGTGATTGTTTTCTTACTTTAAAAAAAAGACAACACGGAAGTCTCATAGAGTTATAAAAAATACAACTGCAGGTATTCTCAGTTGTATTTTTAAGAGTAATACTTTCATCGTCATATTCAAACTGTTTTTTTTTTAAATTGTATGCATAAGGTGTTAACAAATTGTAATAATTATCTAATTCAGGAGTTTGAGTCATTTGAATAGGGTGTTTCTGAACTAACTTCACAGCATTTTTATCGCGTTCTAATCTAATGCTTTTAAGAACAATGAATAATTTTTCTACAAAATTTTCCAAAGTGGAAAAACAACAAATAACAGATTTGAGTTTCCCGTTGAAACTCTCTAATCTGTTATTTGTTTTGTTCATTAAATTTCCTGTCATATAAGTCATGCCTATAACCCATTCATCCCTTATTCCATGCCAGTTTTTATTATAATATTCCATGACTGACTCAGGTGCTACAGTTTTCAAGTATTGGTATAAATTGTCATAMTCCATTTCTGACTTACAATAAACAATGTTTTGAATTACTTCTTTTATCGTGTCCCTTTCATTGGGAGTGATATTTCGCTTATCACTGGTAATTTCCCGATTAAATGTTTTTAGTGTATGGAATAAACATATTGTTAGTGCAACATTAGGAAAGATTTGCTTAATAACATTTCTCTCTTTCATATCCTTGTCCGTTATATATACTCGAGTTTTAGCCGAAATTGGGTTTTTTTTTTTTTAAAGTTTCAAAAAACCAGCGTAGGGTAACTTCTTCCTCATTAACTAATAAGCCGATTGCTGCTATTTCGCTCTGTCCATCTCCATCCTCCGTCATTAATACGTATACTGGCAGTCTTAAAACAAGCAATTTGTATGTAGCATCTGCAAAAACTACCTTTAGAAACATTGGGAAATTATTAGTATATACTGGATATTATATAATTTTGTAGTGTTTTAAAATTTTGAATTGCAATAAAATATTAAAATATTTTTCTGGAAATGCTTCAAACGATTCAGTCATGAATCTGTCCTGTATAAAAATACCATTTAGGTTATTTGCCTCATCTGTTGATATTTCAACAATACAATTAAATTTAGTTTTTAATTTATTCACAACCTCCACTAAATTGTTATTTGAATAATTTTTTCCTTTAAAAAATAAAATAGTTATAGAAATATTAAATTCTGAAGTAAACCACTAAATTAAATTATAATTTTTTCATACTGCCTGTAGTATGAATATTTGATAAGTCTTTCAAAGTAACAATTTTCCCAGTTTCGTTCATTATTTTATGTTGTATCATTTTTTTATTTGCCTTAAGGTCCATCAACTCCAATACAATAGCCTTATTTTCAGGTGTGATCTTTCTTTGATTAGGGAGATAACTGTATAATACCCTGGAAACCTCGTGGTTGTGGTCCTCGGTCATTTTTGTTATGACCAAAGATTTTCCATCATCTGATGCTTTCAAATAAATGCCAGCTTCACAGCCTTGGCGCAATGTACTTCAAACATTTTAATATTTTAAATCTTGACTTTTACAACTTAATAACAAGTAAATAATAGCTAATAACTAAATAATAAAATAAATGTACTTACGATGTGGAACGTTGTTCAAGTGTATTTTTTTTTTTTGTAGCTTCCTCCATGTACACAACAAAATTTTATATAATAATATTTCAAATCACTTGATGCAGTAACCATTCTACCATTTGGGAATTTTGTATTAATGGAGGCCAATGTCTTACAGTCTTTAATAAAATAATCTACAAAATGTGTGTCTTTGTAGATTCTAAAACTTCTTTCGAATTCTTCATACGATTTATAACTATCTTGGAGCTTCATAATTATATATTTATGTAATTTTACTTTAAAAACAAAACTTTAACTTTAATAACTTGTACAAGGTTAGTGCAATTAACTTTTATAGGAGAGTTCAGCTTTATTCTTATCATAGGGTTATACAATGGATGGATATAAAGGTAAGTAAAGGCCAAATAAACCATTAAAGTTTTCTTAATAAAAACCTATTATTGGATATTCAAATTACGCGCTCAATGCTTTTCAGCATGATACTCAACAGGTAGGTAATATACAGTGTGACCCGGTGCTCTACAGTGTAGCCAGACGCCCGGTACTCTATAATATGTCCGGGCGCCCGGTGCTCTAGACACAGCGCTTATTAAAACCCATTGCACGTGCTGCCGATGTAGCTTCTGGTTTTCTAAGCGATAACTCTCGGTGTTTTGACATAAACTCGAAATAAAATTGTGTTTATTGTTATTTTGGTATATTTCTACTTTACCGGGCACCCTTTTTTGCAATTTTTTTTTTTGAAACCTATGTAGTTAAGTACGCTGAAAACGATGACGAAGTCAGAATTTGGGGCTTGGACATAGTTTCGAAGTTATAACGCTTCAAAGTTAAGTGTATTATGTTTTAAATAACTTAGAAAATTCACCGAAATCGAACGAGCCATCGTGACCCAGTGGTATTTTGATGACTTCGTCGTGGTGAATGACCCGAGTTTTAACCTGATTGTCAAGGAAAAAAATTTTGCACTTTTTTCCATTGTATCAATAGTACCTAATCATTAGTTATAACAGTGTGGTTAGGTGGTTTATTATCACGGGACTAGTGTGGTAACACTAGTTACCGAGGCATGTAAATTGTGAGTTGCTGATTCTGTTTACACTGATTAAACATTAAACTCACTACTCACCTTTGTGATTACTAACTGTGATTAGATATTAATTATTGTGCGGTTATGTCAGTTTCCATTATTTCTTAATTTTTATATTTTGTTAATTACTATTTAATATTTTTTATTGCCATATTGTATTTAATTTGTTAAAAAAAATAAATATCCCGGTGCATCATCATCGTCACTGTCGTTGTCGTTGAGTTCGTCGTCGATTCCGCCACCTTTATCGTCGTTACTACTGTCGTCGTGGCCGCCACTGACGTTATTGTCGCCGTCGTCATGTTCAACTAAGTCACGTGCATCACTATATAAAATTCCAGCCTGCTTAAAAAACTCAGTTGTGGCATCTAATTTGAAGGACCGGCATTTTTTTAAAAACATGTACTTGGCCAGGTACCCCGCGTAAAATTCTTTTTTTCTGCAATATTGCGATATTGAAGATTTCGCGTGCCTCCAGCTACTTTCAATCGTATTTGAATGAACACCTGACTCCGGATCTTTGAAGTGAAGGCTATGATTAACCGTCAGATGGACATATCCCTCGTTGTTCAAAGTGTTGTAYGCCTAAAATTAGGTACTTAAAAGTTTATACGTCTTTACAAGTTTACTAGAAATACCTTCCAACAATCTGATATAATCGTGGTTCCAGGTTTCACCCAATCTTTGATGATTTTCAACAGAGTATCGGCGGTACGATTTTCAACAGGAACCATAAAACAATTTCCCGTTTCCCGTTCATATCCACCGAACACCCATTGTCCCTCAACACGGTGCCCTCGATGATGCTTTCGTCTACCAAATTTAGACTCATCGATGTGTCCATGACCACCAATCACGACTTTCTTACAATCATAGAATCATACACCACTTTACGACAGAAGGATGCCCAGACCACAATAGTTTGGTTTGCCAGTCTAATTTGTTGTTGGAGTACTGGGAATGAGCAATTCATTACCCACAAATTTACAAAACCACAAATGTCCAACAACGACAGGTGCGATTTGGCAAAAAATGTATTTTTCCTCAACGACATACTATTTGTTTAATTTATATTTTAAGTTTAGTTTAATGTTAATAATATTATAGTAATGTAAGATGGTAATATTTACCTATAGTTACAGACTTTATTTTTTCTCTGCATTTCCATTTGTATTTATCAAAGGAAGCTTCATCACGTGTCAAATTCATCTTATGCCTTCTTACGCATTTCGGTCCCGTGTGCAAAGCTCCTAATTTTTGCAGCATTTCTATCAATGCTAATCCGTCGTCGCATAAAGATAATTCTTTTAAATCGTACAAATTAATATGCGGGATGCCCATTATTATAATTATAGAAAATTATTAAATTTGTAAAATTTATAAAGAAACACTGTGGTCAGTAGTACATATACTAAGTACAATATTGTTTAGGCTTTAACCGTTTAATACTTTTTGTAATCTTATCGAAGTTGTTTTTGCTCAAAATATTTTTTGCCATATTATTATCTTAATAAATGTCGTTAGGATAAAAATAATTGGCATATATAATATATATTATACATTGTTCACAATTTTATTTAATCGTGTAATCTACTTGAGGTGGTATTTCACTGCAAATCGAGGGATATTTTTGATTTAAATGTCCGAGCGACTTCCGGTTCATGCGAAATGCATTTTTTTTTTTATTTTTTGTATTCACCCAAATGTATTGTAAACACGTGTTTTAGATGAAATATGATTAGTTCAATACAAATGACTTTAAACGATATTTAGCGGAATTATCACCATTTTTTACCAAATTTTTTTTTTTTTTTTTGGTATAATTGCAGTTTAGCACGCAAGCGATTTTTTTAATAATTAAAACATATGTATTTCAACGAGAAGTTTTATTCTTTCAAACTTCGCGATTTTACGTATGCGCGGAATATCTACTATATACTTTAATGTCATGCGGAGGTAGCCACTATATAATACTACTTAATATTTTACTTTAACAGGCGGTTGAATCTGGTGACCGGTTAGGTTAAGTTAAGGAATAAGGGCGGTTAAGTTAGGTTACCCATCTGCCCGAAGGGCAGGGATGCTCTCCCCCCCGCGACCCCGTAGGGGTCGCCAACCCCCTCACCTGGTTAGGTTAGCTATTTTAGCCCCGGGGGTTTGGGGGCCGAGCCTCCATCTAAAGCCTGGTTTACACTTATCAAAAACTTATCAAAGTAGCCACGTCCGTGAACACGGATCAGTGTAACTTTGATTCGAGCACTGACGACAGTGTTTACACTGTCAAATTTTTTCTGTCCAAGTAAAATATAAAATAAATAATTTATCAGTWGCCAAAATGGAACCAGAACTGGCAGACGTAGTGTTATCAGTCTGCGGAGTTTTAGCTCAAGAGTGTGCAAACCAAATTATTTCTAATCGTAAAAAGAAAAGAAAAATATGGGTGCGAGATTGGGTTGCCAGGCGAAATATTTTAGGTGGATCAAATACGTTATTAACGGAGCTCCGAGTGGAAGACAGACCAGGTTTCATGAACTATATGAGGATGAGTAATGGTCATTTTAATATTTTACTAAAAAAATTGGAAACCCGTATTCAAAAACTGGACACATTTTTTTCGAGAAGCAATACCAGCTAAGACAAAGCTGGAAATCACATTAAGATTTCTCRCTACTGGAGAGTCGTATTCGTCACTACAGTACTTTTTTCGAGTGCCCAAATGTACCATAAGTTTGTTTGTACCTGATGTTTGTACAGAAATCTATAATGTTTTGGAAATTTTCATAAAGGTAATTTTATTATAATAAATTTATTTTCACTTTAAATARTTATATCAGTACTTATGAAATATATAATATACATAAAAAACAATTAAATATAGAAAAACAAAATGATAAATACGCTGACATAACTTTTATTGACTTATGGAACTAAATAGCTGTTCAAATGTTTGCGGTACGGGTTCTTCTGTGCCTTCAATATTATACTCAGAAGATTCATTATACGTATAATTTGAACTTACTGATGGAATATTTAAATCAATGGATGAGGATGAATTAGATAGTAAATGGTATTGGCCTTCTTCGTAGTTCGATTGACGAGATTGAGGAGTGTATGATGATGTATCATGATGAATTTGAGTTTGTTTATTATTTGATTCACGGCTTTCTTCGTACTTCAACAATTCCTCTGTTAAGATAGTTTGTATTTTCAATTGCGATGCAAGTGCTTGCCTTTTAGGAAGTTGATTAAGTTKAACAGCAACACTTTTACCAAAAATTTCAAACGGATTTTCAACTTTTGGCGCAGATGCAATTGCTGCAATTTTTTCCAATCTATCTACTGTGGTATCAATGTTAAACAAATTTCGTGGAGTTAATTTTCTTTTTTTATTTAAATTTATCGGGATTGAGTTAGTAGTTGACATTGGTTTGGTTAAAGATGGATTAATAGTTTGAATGGTTTCAGTACAGTTTTCGAAACTAACTTGGTTTTGTGATGATGTTTTTTCTGTAGTCTCTGAATTTTCGTTATCACATTTTTCATTTTCATTCTCAATGCTACTACTTTGAGTGCAAGAGATTACATTAGATATCTACAAACATAAAATTATAATAATATTGATAAATTATTTTATTAAGTAATTTTACAATAAATGTTTGATATTTCAGTGTCCATCAAGTGTTGAAGAATGGAATGAAATAGGAAAAAATTTTGGTTTAAGATGGAACTGTCCTGATTGTTATGGAGCAATAGACGGAAAGCATATAGTAATAAAAGCACCAGCTAATAGTGGATCTGAATTTTTTAATTATAAAGGATCATTTAGCATAGTATTATTAGCTGTTGTTGATCATGATTATTGCTTTCGCTACTTAGATGTTGGTGCAAATGGAAGATGTTCCGATGGAGGAATATTTCGAAACTCTTCATTAAAGTTAGCTATTGAAAATGATTTTTTAAATTTACCAGAAAATGGTTATTTTGTTGCCGATGATGCCTTCCCGTKAACGAAATATATGATGAAACCATATTCCAGGAGAAAATTGTCAAAAGAACATTACATATTTAACTATAGACTATCAAGAGCGCGTCGTATAGTCGAAAATGCTTTTGGGATATTGGCACATAGATTTCAAATTTATTTGAAACCAATACAACTTCAACCAAGTAAAGTCGAAGAAATTGTTAAAGCAAYATGTGCTCTMCATAATTGGTTGCGTATCACATCGGGGTCAACATATATGCCTCCGGGATCATATGATGAAGAATTGGCRGGAAGTACAACAGTTCGAATGGGTTCTTGGCATTCTCAAATACAACCTACAGGTTTAGTTGAAGCTCCACCATTAAGATTTGGGCAAAATTATYCGAGAAGTGCGATTGAAAAACGAGAGCTTTTATGTAAATATTTCAACGAAGAAGGTGCAGTACCATGGCAAGAAAATATTTTCGATGTGTAATATTCATTGCGAATTTAGAAAATCGAAATGTATTAATAAACATAGTTAATGTTAATTTCATAATTATTTGTCGAATAATTATTTATATTACATTTTCTATCTGCTATTATATAAACTATGTTTATTATTTCTATGCTTATTAAAAAAAATGTGACTATGTATTTTTAATATTTTTAACTACTATTATAACAATAATTCTATAAATTAAATTTACCAAATTTGTTTGTGATGGCCGTTGGATTACATGTRATTTAARAAAAGAATCCATTAAATTAAACCAAGGTAGGTACTGAAGGTTTATAAATAGAATCGGTTCCGGTTCCTAAAAATAATGAAAAGTATGATGTATAAAATGAAAATTATTACTTATCTAATATAGATTAGATACCTGAATAAAACATGCAGACACTTTTTTCACCTCTTGGCAATAAGCAGAACKTATATTATTAATTTTTGCCTTTGCTTCGTTTACACCAAAATTCTCTATGGCCATTTCATTGCATATTTTTTCAAGCGCTATTTGTCGTCTAGCATGTTTGTTTTTATATTCAGATATACTTGTATTCCAAAGAACTTCATGGCTTTCGTACAAATGAATAAATTTCATTGTTTTGTCCTCAGACCATTTTTTTTCTGCCATTATAATATTATGTACGAGTAAAAAATTAAGTTGAAAAAAATGTATACAAAAAATATTATTGTATTAAATAAATTTAATATAAATTATAATAAATTGTATTTATTATAATAAATTTAATATTGTAAAGAACCAAACATGAATGAACATTTCACTGAATGAAAACWAGACATATTAAAAATATAAAAATAAAATGTTCTCCCCACGTACGAGAATTTTGATACATGTCCGTGCCGGCACGGATCGRACAACACGACTTGTACGAGCTTGTCACACGTACGTGTGGTGTGTTTATATTATCAAAGTAGAATCCGTGCCACTAATTCGTGGTTCACGGACGTGGCTACTTTGATAAGTGTAAATCGGCCTTAACTCGAGGTGCGGAGGACCTCGAGTTTGGCGACCGGAGCCGGTAGGCGAAGGGAGCCACTATACTTGATAATTTTGTTATTTAACTGTTAGCTCTGTTTTAAAAAAAGAAAATATGTTAATAACAAATATCATTACAATTGTAAAATCTTCTTTTTTTAAAAAAAAAGTGCAAAAAATATTTCGGGTGTGTCGGGTGGGTATCGAACCCCCTAGGGTACTAGTCTAATGTAAATGCGTTGTTACCATTGCGCCATCATTGAACACCACTCTGATCCGGCATTATAGGTATTTAAGGGCTATTATATTATGTTAAAACTTCAATTAGTTATAAGTACGAAACTAACTTCGTGCCCCAAATTCTGATTTCACCAACGTTTTTTTCAGCCAAAAAATTACTAAGTCCACCCAAAAAATTGCAAAAAAAAAGGGTGCCCGGTTAAGTAGAAATGTTCCGCTATTTTTGCGTACGCAAAATGTACAATAAGTTCTGGAAATTTAATCGAGGGTGAACAAGTTTTAAACTCTAACCAAGTAATATTATGTGATGATCTTCAAACAGAAAACGTAAGTACCTATTTATCAATTATTCAAATTATCTGCTAATGAATTGAATTAAGTGATTATTTAATTATATATAGGTAGGTATAAGAGAAATAATATTTAATAATCTGCCTATCCCATTGTAATATTGTCAAATCTATTAAATCATTTCTCATTGAAATTATTATTTATCTATAATTTATATTATATTTTATTTATGTATTTATTCTTAAAAACTTGCTTATTGAGTCTCTTATTTTTCAGGATAGGTGTAACAAGTACAATTAAATCATTAGTTATTCARTTATCAAAAGTATCAGAAATGCCGCGTGAAATAACTGGTTAACTCCATATAAAAACAGGGTTGATTCATATACTGAATTTTCGTCACAAACTCACAAAAAAGTTAATACCTAATATTATATTTTTTTTAATTTGTTTTAAATTTTGTCTACAAATTACCTATCATAATAATTTATTATATTAATATTGTTACTAGTATTATCTTATTATTTWGTCCTGTTTTCATTAGTTGTTATATTCACYACCAGACTGTGTTTTATTATCTGCAAATCCCATTTGCGTAGGTATGTTAGTTATTGAGATAATACGATGTCCCATCTTAGTGATGGGCGATTCATGTCGGTGAATCGAAATGAAAAAAATCGATTTTTTGGAAAATCGATTTTTAAAATTAAGATTTTTTAAAACACTAGATGGCGCTTTTACTGTTAATTGTTTTAGCTTGCCCTTGTGACACCCAGGTTCACATTGGTTCATAAATAAAGGTTTTCCATACTCATTAATATCAGTGCGAGTACTACCTACCTTAGTCCCGAATTCGGAGAGAGTAAACACTGTGAGTGTTGTAGTCCTACAGGGAGGGCCTACATCAAAGCAACGGAAACTCGCCACTTCAATGACAGTGTCTATAGACAGTTTGTCCAGTTGGTCACATAGGGGAGGATGATACGCCTTAATTTTTTAAAATTTTATTGAATAAATTACCAAACTTAAATTGTTTTTACTTAACATAATATATAATGTATTTTGTCCACTTAAAACATCCATTTAGAAATACAAATACTTGTCATGTATTTTCAAATACTTTATTATTTGGTAATTAAACACTTATTAATAAAATTATTTTACTAGGTCAAGTATACCATATGACATAATATGCTACACACGTTTATTGATGTCAAATAATGTACACTGTGTAGTAATGTTTATTAAAATTTAAACACAATTAATTCAATAATTCACAAATAATTGAACACTGATGTTTTTATAAATTTATTTTTTAACAAAACTGATACAATTAACACATTATATTAAATTTAAATATTTGAAAAAATAAGAAATACAATAAAGATACAAAACTGATTTTATTGAAAATGTATTATTCTAATTGCCAATCATTTACTAACAATGATCCAAGTAAAAGGAGTTTATTAAAGTTATCACCTGTTAACCTGTTACTATTATCAGTCATAACTTGACCTGCWTTAGAAAAAAGACGCTCCTAAGGTACAGAAGTAGCTACCATTCCTAAATAAGGATTTACAACTTTTTTTAAATGAGGATATATGGGTCCATGAATATCCCATAAACTTAAAACATTATCAGTTAATAACACTGTCGGTTGGTTTAAGTAATGCTTGAGATCTGTAGGCATTTCGTTGACATTCAAGCTTGGTTCTGTTAAGGCTTTTTTTGACACTAACTGTTTATGTACTGCCCATAAACTGCCAGGGTCATCTTCAGAAAAACTTTCATTAAGTGAACTGGTTTCACTGGAGTCTGTGCTAAGTTCTAAAATTTTGGTTTTAATTGTATTGATGACTTTTGAAGAAGCCACTGCACTATTCGAATGTAAGGTTTTAAAACGGGGATCCAGAATTGTGGCTATGGAAAGAATTTCTACGTACTCTACCAAACCTGGTTTGTAAATTGTTTCTTAAATTCGATTTTAAAGCCGAAGCCACAACACCATTCACTTCTATTGATTCAATTTTTTTTATCAAGCAATGCATCAATGGGATAATTTGACTACCTGTTATATATTTGTGGGCACATATTTCTCTAGTAGCAGCTTCGAAAGGTTTTAGAAGATGCATGATTTCTTGGGCAATAAACAACTCACAACCAGTTATCATGGTAGGACCTTTAGGGAACTTCACGATAATGGATGCTACATGGTCAGAACAATTAATAAACCTGTCTAACATATAATACACAGAATTCCACCTGGTTGAAACTGATTGCTTTAATTTAAATGCAGACTTTAAGCATCTCGTCAGATGCAGATACAAATTGCTTGAAAAATGTAACTAAATGTTTTACCTTATTTATTAAAGTAGCAGTATTGGCAGTGTTGTCCAATGCGTTTTGTACTACAAGATTTATYGTATGTGCGAAGCATGGCAAATGTTTAGCCTTACCAAAACACACGCTCACGGTGTTTTTAATATTAGAACCATTGTTAGTTACGACCAAAAAAATTTGACGTTTTTCAATACCCCATTCTTGAAGAGCACTGTCCAGCCACTTGGCAATATTTTCAGATGTATGACGCTCATAAAGTACCACACTTTCTAACTTTAATTTGCACAAACTTAGAAAATGAGCTGTAATACCAAGATAAATTTTGGCATTGATATTATCAGCCCATATATCTGTAGTAARTGTGATACTTTTCACCAAAGATAATTTATTTTTTATTTGACCCGATAATACATCGTACTTGGAACTAATAAGTTTACCTAGTTATTGTCTTTCTTGATGGTGCTTTATACAATGGCAGAGCTTGTTCGATGAAGTAGTTTAAACCATCTTTTTCAGTGGAAGAAAGCGGCATGTTGTGTTTTACCTACATATAAATCAATGCGTTTGTGATGGTTACATTTTTTGTACCTCCACCTAAAAAAAAATTATTAAGATTTAAAAATAAAGTTAACATACATGTTTATTAAAAACTAGTTAATTTAGGCATACAGACATATATATTATATTATATTGTTTAGTTTTTAATATTGCTACCTATTATAGATCATGCAATTATAAAATAAAATAAAATATAAATGTTTTGTTAAATCCCTGAATACTTAAATATTGCCTCTTTCTTTCATATGATCTAAATTCACTAATTGATTGATAGATTGTTGGTTGTATTAATTTTGAACTCGTGCTCGTTGACGATCTGTTTGCAGAAGTTAAATTTGATACCACAGACAATGTATTGATCGTTTTTGATATAATCAGAATGTAGGGAACATGAAGATTCTGGCCGAGACTGAGAAACCACTGTATCCAAGGTGGTTTGAGCACCAGACTGAAATATCATATATTTTAAACATATGAAATGTCCATGTAATTGAAATATTGACATACTCGTATTTCAGTAGTTAAATCATAATACTTACCACGGACTGAACAAATAGAGAATCAGCTTCATCGTCTTCAACTGAAGAGTAAACAATGTTGTTTGATTTAGAACATTTAGCATTTTTTAAAGTATTTAATGAGGGGTGCTTGCGCTTTAGGTGCTGCTTCAAGTTGGTTGTATTGCCAAAAGTTCTTACGACAACATTACATAACTTACAACAACCAACCTTATGAGGCTTATCAACTTTCACAAAGTAACTCCACATGTTTGAAGTCGAAGACATTGTACTATTGTAATATTAAAAATATTTATTTTTACATTTTTTTAGGAAAACTAGAATTGTGTACTGATAAATGTGATAACCGATTTGACGCCATGTTGGATTCCTTTGGTATTTTTCCTGCGAAGATCCATTCGTTATATTATAGATTATAGAATATAGATGGGTACAGGGCAGTAAAATAAATAAATTTATAAAATAAATACCTAATCTACAGCAAGTTTAAAAAGTTTTTAATAAAAAAAAAATTTGTTTTTCTCAAATCTATTTGAGTGTATACTGTATCCAATAATATAATATAATCTAAAACTCTCAAGCACTTAAATCCTTAAATTAGCTGGAAGAATAAGTTGGAGGGACAACGGACAAACCAGAATGACATTTTCACATACATTTTAAGTACGCGCCTATCAAATTATGATAACGTGGAGTCGTCATTTTTAGTTAATAAAAATATTTTGTGGAATCGTATGATTTTTTAATTTAAAAGCATCGGAAAAATAATTGTTCAAAAGTAGTTTAATCTAACTTTGATGCACAAAAATACCAATATATTAAAACTAAAATCGTATTTATCTTATGTCAAGTCTTTTGATAAAAACTTTCTTAAGAACATTTTTTTTTTTATTTAAAGATATTATTTACGGGTAGGTACTTAAAATTTTAAATACATAAAAGTACATAATGATTTTCATCTAATGCAATGTTTTCAGCTATAACTTGTAATTCAACCTACTACATTACTAAGTAATAGTACAATTACTGTAATAAATAATAATATATGCTGAGAGACGTCTTCTCTTTGAATCATTTTTCATATACCTACCCATTGAATTTAATTTATCACATTCATCACAGTAACCCCTATTAACTACTACTGTACAGTAGAACGGACGGTAGCTCCACTTGTCCAGTTTTTTCAAAAAAAAGTATTTGGCAAGACGAAAAATTATTTATGGACAAAAAGAGTCAAAATATTTTGAAAAGTTTATCATTTATGGAAAAAAAGGTAATTTGGCCAAAACTTTAAATACTAAATTAATTTTATTATTTTTTAATGAATTTATTTATTTATTAAATATATTCATTTTTTAGTTACACCAAAAAAAAAAAAAAAACAAAATAAATTTTATTAAAAACCATTTTTGTTTTGTTCTTCCCGACTTTTATAAATTATTGGGATTTTATTACTTTTGATCTCTTAACATATTAATTAGATTCATTTTCCTATCAAAAAAGCCGCTGAAGTAAAAAATTGGAGCATTTTTACTGTTACAAAAGTTGATGTTAGAAACAAAAATAAAACACGCTTTGTAAAATCAACATATTCATCGCTTTGCTCAGAATTTAATATGGGTGGGTTCTTATAAAAATTAATTTTGAATTATTGTGATAAATTATACCTATTATATGACCAGGTATACAATTATAAATATATTCTACTGAAATAAATACAATTTGGACACATTTTTTTGCAAAATTAATTTATTACAACCAATTAATAATATCTTGATGAGTTATAATATAATAGGCATAATAAATAATGATTATTTACTTAAGTGTAAACATTTCATTCTTCTCTGAGATGGTTTATAAAAGCGATTAACATTGATTTTATAAGGTACATTGTCATATTTTGAAAAAATCTAGTAGGTGACCCCCGTTTCTTTAACTCTTTCCCTTTGCTATGCCACTGGTTGATCGCTTGCAACGAACAAATGCCAAAATCCGAAACGCTATTCGCTGAACTCTTCGGTACAAGGTTGGTGACAGGGGAAAATAGTTCTTTGAAGTCGTGCTCGACCAAGTCGCAACGAGACAAAAAAAAAAAATTAATAATAACAATAATATTATATTATTATCATCATTATTGTGTTGTGTGTGCCCAGACGCACTGCAACAGTCGCGGTCGTCGTAACGCATAAACGACTACCGCAAAGACGCRGCGGCGCGGAGTGAGGAGGACTGAAAATCTATTTCTCGCACACGCTCGCTAGTAATATATTACGTACGAGAGTTCACGTGTACAGTGTGTTGCGTCGTACCGGGCGATCGTCGTGTGTGGTCCACTTGGTGGTGACACGCACTCGCGGGATCGCGCACACACTTGCTACATCTCGTCGTCGTATAGTGCCGCCACCGAGCCGGTTTCCACACATTTTTATACAGCGGCGGCGATAGAGCAGATAAATATCGCCGCCGCGCACACTCATTATACACGACACAAACAATAAAGCGGTATAATACGCGCTCGCCAGACCTCCCTACACCCCAGCCCGCCTGTACTTTCAATACTATTACTACTTCGGCGCCGGACTTCGAAGTAGACGAAATGACACACGGGTGGGCGGTGCCGAACTTGAGACCTTTTATGGTGTTCAGATTGCAAATGATCTCTACAAGCAAAGGAACTAGGAAGGCGTGGGACGTCGGGCTAAAGGTTAATAAGACATCCGTCGTTGACAACCGACTGGACTACCCAATTCTGTAATTGGACAGTGCCGTTTCGAGAGTGCCACTTGGTGAAATTTTCACTGTTAAACTGAGAGCGGGATGAAAAAATATAATTGTAGGCTCACATAAAATAATTAGATACAGCTCGAGATGTCATAAGAGATATGTCTCTTGAATCTAAATACACTGTATTTATAACATTGACAAAAAAAAAACAATCATGATTATTATACAGTWTATTATAGTGAACTATAATTTATATATTTTTTTAGACTTTAATTTTTGTAAATAACTATAGGTACTTGACATTTTCACCAAATGTTTATGTTAACATATTTTTTTAAAGTTTTTTTTWAACTCAGTCATARTGCTTAAAATTCGAATAAAATTAGGAAAAAATTCTTAATAGGTTATTTTAACAGCAGTCCAAATATATTTTACAGTAGTAGGTACCTATGGTTTTTTTTTATATCACGAAAATTTTATATGTCTAATGTCTTCATATTTTAACGGAAAATGACGAAATTTTGTAATTTATAAATATTATTAAAAGCTGACCAAATGTCTATGCTCAAAATTATTTTTCGYCCATGATGATTTTATATCATAGAAATTAAATTTAACACATCCGTTAGAGTGRCCTACTCGACATGTCATGTACAGCAAAGCGGTACCCACTTGCTAAGATTTATATTTGAAATGCATATTCTCAAAATTATTATTTCAATAATTATCATACCTATTAATTATTATCGTGTTAATACTTTTTAAAACATTAAAGTATAAAATTTCTTATTTAAAAATATGTTTGACAATGGAATAAAAATTTAATAGTTCACCTTATAGTTACACGCAATCGTGTAAAACTATAATAATAATAGCAATAATTATAAAACTATTTTTTATATAATAGTATTACCCACAGGTCATATTTTCAATTAAAATATTACCTACCAAATCAATATACGAAAAATTATAGTGATTCGTATATTCGTGATTCGACATCTGTAGGAATACTGTGTTTATTGTTTTATTTTTTTTTAAATAAATACGTCGAATAAAAATAACATTTKTGATTTTTTCATAAAGTTAGAAAAATAGTAATAAGCTTATATTTATTGTTACTTWTTTACTTTAGTGGGTGTATGACTGATTTCTCGTCTTTGCATTGTTTGACTTTATCATTGTTGGCTTTTAGTTTTGGCTGACACTGTTGTACTGACAGTCACACGACAGTAATAGGGTAACATATATTTTCGAACGTAGTTGTAGCTCAAATTTAAATATTTTGTTTGTTTACACTTAACACGACACGCGTACCTACCATTGACGTAATAAACAATGAATAATATTGTSGTGCCAACCTCAAGGGGCCTAACGTGTGTTGGAAACAATTTCTTTGGAAATAAATTGGTAAAGCAACTGCCTACAACAGTAATGTATAAGAGGCTACGGCGTCGTCGTATTCTCCGTCGTAAGTGATTTCGTAACGCTACGCCATAGGTACCAGTGCACTCGGTTATTAAAATGCCAATGCTCAATAATCACGTGCGAACAACAAAATTACATTTTTGTGTGATAAACATTTTATTTATACATTTTTAATCCACTGTTTGTATATCTACTTAAGATGTTGTTATGTGGCCATTATAATAAAATTCTGATGAGACACTGGAATTAGAAACTTAATGATTTCTGGTAGCCTGATAAGAAATCAAGTTAAGAAAACCTTGAAATA